TTTTGGTAGAGATCTGCCGGGCTGTTTTCTTGTAGTAAAGTGCTAAAACAAATTTTTTCGAAAATTTGCATTATTATTATTTTTTTTGACGCTAGATACCATAGTCTTATAGATCATACTAAAATATTATGGCCCTACGACAACTTGTTTAACATTAAAAATTCGTCAAAGTTTGCAAAAATTAGTATCATTTTTTTGGCATTTATCAAAATTAGACCTTCCATCGACGTTTGTTGAAAAACGTCTGAACCGATTTCAGAATGGACGACGATCGGCCGAACCGTTTCTTTGTAATTCGGAAAACAAATGTTAAACTTTTTGTCCACATTTGAGCTCATACTACCAAATGGATTTAAAAAGAAAACTGTTCGAAATATATTAGTTGGAAAGCATACAGATTTGTTTTAGGTGAAAATCTACCGAACAGTTTTTAACTGTTGAAAAAAAAATTAAATCGATTTTTATGGAACTGTTTTTGGCGATGAATATAGAACTTACTGAAATATTCCGGCTTTATGACTAGTAGTTTAGTTTTAAAAATTCATCAAAGTTTGAGAAAATGAGTAGTTATGTTGACGTTTGTTAATATTAAAATTAGATGATTTACTTGGTATAACGATAGATTCATTGGTCTTAATGAACGTACTAAACCATTAAAGTCCTATAAAAACTGGTTCAATTATGAAAATTATTGATTTGTAAAAATTTGCTTTTAGAAAATACTCCGAGTTAACGTGTTCGTTCGTTTTCAATTATGTATAATAAATGCACTCAGAATACTTTAAATCACTCATAAATTAATTTATTTTTTATTGATTAAGTCGGTTATTTACATATATCAGAAAGTTCATGTAATTATTCGAATAGTTATATAATTAATGTAATTCATGTAATCATGTTATATAGTTCATGTAATTATTCGACTAGTTTTATTCGAATTCACAATTTGGAAAAAATTGTCATTATTTTTGCAAGCGTTGCAACGTATCAATATGTCAATAATGTTTACAAATTGATCTTATAAATTTAATTAAAATTGTATTTAAGATTCTACCATGTAAAGATTTTATCTTGTTATGCTTCTGTTTCCATGTATATCATATTTTATCTCAAAGCTTAGAGTTTCGCTCCTACCTTTATATTTGCATGTACCAGCACAATTATATAATACGGAACATTAAATTTTGCGCACATTTGAGCATTTCAAACGTTTTACAGTGATATAATTTTCAGTGTAATTTTGTTTGAAGCTCACAATATGTCCTCGGTGTAAAATTACTGCAGAATTGCTACGAATGATTGCTCCATTCATATGATAATCAAGGATATGTTGAAGCATGTAACGGGAATGTTCTACTATATTTTATTTTATTTATTGTATTTGTTATAGTACTTTGTGAATTATCACTCAAATGAGCAGTTTAGTAGATAACAAGGACAACTTTCTATGAATATTAGAAAAAATTGAATCTGGTTATACACTAAAATAATTAAACAAAATTTATTCCAGGTAACGCTATAGATTATAGATGATAATGTTTTTGATCAATTTGCTGATCACTCCATTCATCATTTACAAACTTATGATACACTTTGCGTAGGTGCATTTTGGTATAAGCATCTTGTATTAAATAAACAGTATCTGAATAATAATATATTCAAAGAACACAAATTTCAAACGACATGATGCTTTTATAATAATTGTACGAAATGTTAAGAAAGTTTACTTAATCACATCTTTGGCGTCTTCTGAGTATTTACAGACGCTGAGATATTCAAATATTAATGTACCAACTCAGTAATTTGAAATGACGACGTGATATGGGACACTTCTGATGGTTGTTTTATTGTTTTAAAATTTTAGAAAAGTTCAAAATGCATTATTTAAATTTTCAGTAAATGACAATCGAGTTTTTTAAACTTCTTTGGTAATAAATAATTAGCTTCGAACAATAATTTCGAAAAACATAGAGAACAGGCAACGCGGTTGTTATGGTTCTGAAGTGTGAACAAATAATTATTTAAAAATATGTTTTTTATGTTCTAACTTTGGAAGATAAATCAGAACTTCTAAGCCCTAAACTGCTGCAGTGATAAACTGTATATTAGTTATATGACGAATACATATATAGTAATGATAATTATTTGATTGAAAATATTTGAACCAATTGTTATTAATCATTGATTGATATTTATTGATTTTCAATTTGTTTGCTCGAATATTTAATTCTAGTGCGGTAAGTTGCAGCAATTTGCCTAAGGCACGATGCCATGCACCACTAGTTCATAATATCGTAATTTTTGAAAAATTAATGTGGGTGCGTATGTGTATTTATATGAGGTTATATAAACCTGATTCTATTCTAAATTAAAATACCAGTACGATAGCACATTATTTTCTGGTAAATAATATTGTAATTAAAAGTTATAATTATGGCACCGAGCAACTAGTAATATATGTGCTACCCTATATTTATGGTTGATGTAGTTTGCGTAATTAAGATAATTAAACTCGAAAATAGCCTGCAAAAATAAAATTTATCATTTCAAACTTGTTTATTAAAATTATTTCAAATAGTTTTAATTAAACTGGTATAAATGCAAAATGTGTGTAGGGGAAACTGGAGTTAAACTATGCTGATTTTAATGTAGGTTAGAAAGAGATAAATATGAAGTATGTTTGTTCGAACAAGTTTGTATTATTGCATTTAGTCTGCGCCCTACAGTCAAAAGTAAGTTTTTTATTCAATTTTTTTTAATAATAGCCATTTCTGTATATAAATGGATCTCCTTGTTTGTTATTTTGCTGAATATTTGTTCTGGTTTATCTTTATAAGATATTTTTTTAAAGAAAATGGGTACCTGGAAATTATTCCAGTAATGAATTACTAAATTTACTAAGTACTGGTTTAGCTCTGGGTAATTATTTACTTTTACACGTATAAATTATTATTGATCTCTTAGTAAATATTCTAACTAGTTGGTATTGGTATTTTGTTTTCAGGCAAGTTACATGAAATTGCCAATGTGTATAAATAATCGACTTAATCAAAAAAAAATTAATTCATGATTAAAGGTATTCCGAGTGGACTTATTACACATAATTGAAAACGAACGAACACGTTAACTCTTGTATTTTCAGAAAGCAAATTTTCACAAATCAATAATTTTTATAATTGAACCAGTTTCCGTAGGACTATAATGGTTTAGTATGTTCATCAAGACCAAGTACTATATCGTTATACCAAGTAAATTGTCTAATTGTAATTTTAACAAACTTTGATTAATTTTTAAAATTAAACTACTTGGCTGTAATATTTCAGTAAGTTCGATAAGACTATGATATATGTTACCAAAAAAATTCTAAGAAATCGCATCGGCTTAAATTTTTTTCAACAGTTAATTACAAGAAAGCGGCTCGGTAGATTTTCACCTAAAACTAATCAGTATCATTCCCAACTAATATCTTTCGAACAGTATTTGATTTTTTAAAATCAATTTGGTAGTATGAGCTTATGTGTAAACTAAAAGTTTAACACTTTTTTTCAAATTACAAAGAAACGGCTCGACAGATCGTCGCACAACGACTGATAAACGATAGTCCTTATCGAGATACATCGAATGGCTTTTAAATTTTTGATATCGGTCCAGCTACACACATACACATTGGTTCAGAATGGTTTGAAACGTCTGGAAAT